TAGAGTTAAATAAGAGTGCTTGGTCAATCAGAAGGTTGCAGAATCCTGAGCAGTATTTCCTACAGCAACTCATTTTCACAGTGGTCCTTGGAGATGGCCCTGCATGCCCTCCTGGTGGTGATGTGGGAATGTCGACTGACTCAGGCTCCACAGACCCTGATACTAATCCTGTGGCTCTTTATGTTACCATCCACACTTCAGGAATGCCCTTACTCTGGGTTGGTGCTGGGCCTGGTTTGTCCAGATGGCCTTGTTGAATCCTTGGGCATGGACATGGGGACAGCATGTTTCCAGGAGCAGTCTTCAGGATCATAGCCCTCCCAATCAATGCCCTCTCTGCAGTTTAGAGTTGAGGATACCATGGATGATATATTCTTCACGCCCATGGACCTGCAGTGGTGGGGATGACTGTTGGGACTGATCATGAAAGAGGTCCTCCATCTAAGGCTTTAGGAGGGATATATGGAAAATAGGATGTAGACTCATGAAATCATAGGGTTGGAAGGGACCACAGGGTCATCTAGTCTAACCCCTGCCAACGTGCAGGATTTGTTGTGTCTAAACCATCCAAGACAGCTGGCTATCCAGCCTCCTTTTGAAAACCTCCAGTGAAGGAGCTTCCACAATCTCTCTAGACAGTCTGTTCCATTGTCCTACTGTTCTTACAGTTAGGAAGTTTTTCCTGAGGTTTAATCTAAATTTGGTATTCTGTAGTTTTGAACCCATTGCCTCTTGTCCTGCCCTCTGTGGCAAAGAGAACAACTTTTCTCCTTCTTTTTTATGGCAGCCATTTAAGTATTTGAAGACCATTATCATATCCCCCGTAATCTCCTCTTTTCCAAACTAAACATATCAAGTTCCTTCAGCCTGTACTCATATGGCTTGCATTCCATCCCTTTGATCATCTTTGTTGCTTTCCTCTGAATCCTTTCCAGTTTCTCTACATCCTTTCTATACGTTGGTGAAGAAAATTGGACACAGTACTCCAGCTGAGACCTAATCAGTGCCAAGTAGAGCAGTACTATCACCTCCTGTGATTTGCATGCCATGCCTCTGCTAATGCATCCTAAAATTGTATTTGTTTTTTTTTGTAACAGCACCACATTGCTGACTCATGTTGCGTTGTGATCCACCACAACTCTTAGATCCTTCTCAACAGTGCTGCTTCCAAGCCAGTTTTCCTCCATTCTGTATTTGTTCATTTGGTTTTTCTTCTGTACGTGTTGCACCTTATATTTGTCTTTGTTAAATTTCATTTTGTTGTCTGTAGCCCAGTTCTCCAATGTATCAAGATCCCTCTGAATTTTAGCTCTATCCGCCAAACTGTTGGCAACCCCTCTAGCTTCATGTCATCTGCAAAATTGATCAGTCTGCTCAATTCCCCACATCTAGGTAATTAATAAAGATGTTAAATAACACTGGACCCAGAACAGATCCCCGTGGAACCCAAATTGAGACCTCCCTCCAATCTGACATCTGACATAATAGTTACTCTTTTTTTGTGGTTGTTTAACCAATTCTGTATCCACTTAATAGTAGTTCCACCGAGCCTGCATTTCTCCAGCTTACTTATCAGAATGTCATGTGGGACTGTGTCAAAAGCCTTTGTAAAGTCCAGGTATATTATGTTCATTGCACTCCCCCTATCCACCAAACCAGTTACTATGTCAAGGAAGGAAATCAAACTGGTTTGACATAATTTGCCCTTACTAAGGAATCAAGGGAGTTGCAATTTGAGGTTTGGAGCTGATTTGCTGACAGATCCAGAATGATATGAGTCTAGCTTGTGGGATGGCCTGTTTATACAAAGATGTTTTGCTGCCAGTCAGATGTTTTGGCCCACTGTGAGAGCTGGGCCTTCCTGGTGTTGATCTGTTTACCACTTGTAGTCCTTTTTCATGTCTTCAAGGTGATCCTTAAACTCCTCCTGGATATGATGAATTCATCTAATCCACTTGGTGACTGCTGGGTTTGGGGAGGTTGCTGGCAAGGCCAGCTTGGGAGGAAGGGAGAAGATTTGTCTTGGGGGCTGTTTGCCCTAAGAAGCCTGGAATGAAACAGTCGTAAAAATTCACAAAGCCCAGGAAGCACTATAACTCCCAGGGGAACCTGGGCACTGCCCAGCTGCATATAGCTTCCACCTTCAGGGGAGGGGGGTCCATCTTAATGTCCTCTAGGGAAAGAATATAACCCAAAAATTCTGTGGAGGATTGGTCTAAGGTACAATTTTCCAATTTTGCTACAGGCCATGCTTCCAAGGTCTTTCCAGGATTGATTGAACATGATAACAATGCTGTTCACGGCTATCTGAGATAATGACTACATACTGGTCCAGGATTTCTCTAAATACATTGTTCAGAAAGTGTTGAAAGGTAGTGGGAGCATTGGCTAGACCTAATGGCATTACTAAATATTCAGAGCACCCATAGCAGGTTCAAAAATCAGTCTTCCATTTGTCCCCTGCCCTTATGTATGCTAGACTGTAAGCCCACTTCAGGTCCAGTTTGATGAAAACTCTGCCAGAATGCACACTATTTTGTAAGTCCAAGATTAGGGGCATGGGATACCAGTTTTGAACCATCACCTTCTTTAGGGCTTGATAGTTTACTGAGAGGCAGAACATTCCATCCTTTTTATTAATGAAAAGGACTGGAGCTATTGCTGGGGAGGTGAAACACGACATGAAGCCCTTGGCCCAGGTTTTCCTTGATGTATGAATATAGGGCAGCCTGTTCTGGCTTGGACTTTGCGTACATCTGTCCATAAAGGACCTTTGCCCGGGTTGCAGGTCTGTGGGGGCAATCGGAGTCCCAGTGTAGGGGTGGCATGTCTGCATTTTTCTTTAAAAAAAATCTGAATAATCCTGGTCCACAAAAAAGGACTCAGTCTTATGAGTGCTTCTTTCTCATGGGCTGCCCCCCCCCCCACCCGGGGTTCCTCTGCAGGTGCTGTCACTTTTTTCAGCTGCAGGAGCCAGGGACTGGTGGGTTGGGGCTTGTTGCATACAGGTAGTTCCTTTGGCAGTATTCTGAGGGGAAGCTGATCCTCCTGCCAGGAGATGCAAGAGTCATGTGCTTCAGCTAGATGATGCTGAGAATTAGGGGGAAGTGTGGAAAATGGATCACATTGAATTTTAACACTTCCTGATGACCTTGGAGAACGGCCTCTAGGGGTACTGTTTCCTGTATTGCTGGCTCCAAGGCCAGGCCTGACCCATCTGTTGTCTCTTTGAGAACTGATGTAGGCTTTAAGTGGAGGGAGATTTATAGCACTTGAATGGCTTTAGCATCTAAGAAACTATCATCAACTCATACATTGATCAGGGCCCACTGAGAAGGAATCAGCTTGGCCCCATCCAGGGCATGTAACTGTACATATACTTGGAAGTGCAGGGAGGACCCCCATGTCTTTGATTGGGTTTTCTTTGAGGGCTGGGGTGATTTCTGTCAAAACATTCTGGTAGTGATATTTCAGGACCCTGTTCAGAGGGCAGTGGCCTAACCCAAGCCTGGAGCGTGGACTTCTCTTCCTGGGACCATGCCAACTGCTAGTGGGGATTCTTATTTTCTGCAAGGAACTGTACCATTTAGGACCTCAGCATGTGGTTCTTTGGCTTGGAGTTGAGCAACCCGCTCCTGAGGAATGGGACCCCCAGGGCTCCAGTGGGGGGTGGTAGACCTGCCCCTTCCATATCCCTCCTAAGGAGCTTCCACAGAGAGGGCCAAAAGTGGGTCTAGGAAAAGAGTAAGGGACTGGGGTGTAGCTAGTCTGGCCTCATAGCCACAGTTGGGCTGGAGTCCACAAATCAAGGACAACCACAAGGCAGTAGTCAGCAAGCAGGAATCAGAGTAATCATGAGAGCTGGGACGGATAAGAAAGAGTTAGGGTCAGAGTCAGGCCGGGGTTGGATACTGGAGATTAGCAATAGTACTAAAGTGGAATCAGGAGACAGGGTCAGAGTCAGGCTGGGGTCATAGACTGGAGATCAGAGATTAAGGTGTGGTCTGTAGTCACAGCAGGCCAGAAGTCTGTGGTTGCCCAGATAACTTCCTGGGGCACTCTCCATGGTTAAATAGTATGCTTGGCCAATCAAAGCCCCTCCGAGTATTGTCACTCTGCCTGCAGAGCCTAATCTCCTCAGTGCTTTTTGGATGTGGCTCTGCATACCCTCCCAGTGAGGGCACACACCACAAACTGGGTTCGAGTCACACAGATTGTGTGTGTGTGTGTGTGCACGCATGCGTGCACTGACCTGTCTACACTTTGTCATGAAGACCCCTTAGCATTATTATAATATCTCTCTACACTAATGAATCATACTCATCCTCCTCCTTCTGAGTTTGAGTAGAAAAACCTGAATGATGCTATTTATCTTCAGCCTGTTCTCCAGTAACTAATGGACAACACTGAAACTGCACCCAACTCATTTTGCTTTTCTTGCCAGTTCATTCAAACTTGTAAAGTTACCATCTGAGAAGGTAAGGAGATGTGGGCTACTGCCTACATAGCCGATGCAAGCTATAGGTTTTAGCATGCTATAACTGTGTTAATTGTAGGCTGTAAAGCATTTTGGACAAAATCTTGATCAGCAGGGAAAAATTGCCTATGGCTCTTTCTGTGCTGTAGATGTCCCCTTAGGTTACCCTTCAATCAAGCCAGTGAGGGCCTAGCTGATGACAAAACTGCTAATGTCCCACCTCCAAGACTTATCTCAGCCTGAACATACTTTCACATATTTGTCTTCCTTCCAGGAAGAAAAGGGGCTTGCAGTGCAAGGCAAGGGGACCAGTTACACGGGGACAGCTGAGCAGAGGCACATCTTGACAGAGCATCTTTCTGCCTCCTGCAGCTTCCCAGAGCTCTGCCTTTGGGACCAACTTCATTTTCAGAATGTGTTACCTCATCCCCTCTGACCACTGAGTAGAATCAACAGTTACACGGACACTTCCTACAGGTTCTGTCTTTAGCTCTTATCATTTGTACATTTCTCTCTTTGGTAGCCTGAAAAAGAAAGTTTCAGTGAAAGTTCATCATGTTACTGATGTAACGCTAGCCCTCTCAGGATAGCAATTTTTAGGGTCATTTTCAAAATTAGAAATGGAGTGTTGGGAAGGTAATTCCAGTCTTGGATTTGAAATGAATTTGATTAGTTTGTCGTGCCCTGGCATTTCAATATGTTGTTGGCCTGGTCAATAATTCTCTAGTCACTGTGCTGGGGAATTACCCAGCTTTCACAGAGCCTATAGCATAGACTGATTTCTTCTTGGCAACAAAAGTACCACTGGTTTCAGAGGAACAGCCGTGTTAGTCTGTATTCGCAAAAAGAAAAGGAGTACTTGTGGCACCTTAGAGACTAACCAATTTATTTGAGCATGAGCTTTTGTGAGCTACAGCTCACTTCATCAGATGTATACCGTGGAAACTGCAGCAGACTTTATATACACACAGAGAATATGAAACAATACCTCCTCCCACCCCACTGTCCTGCTGGTAATAGCTTATCTAAAGTGATCAACAGGTGGGCCATTTCCAGCACAAAGCCAGGTTTTCTCACCCTCCACCCCCCCACACAAATTCACTCTCCTGCTGGTGCTAGCCCATCCAAAGTGACAACTCTTTACATAATCAAGTCGGGCTATTTCCTGCATAGATCCAGGTTTTCTCACATCCCCCCCACTCCCATACACACACAAACTCACTCTCCTGCTGGTAATAGCTCATCTAAACTGACCACTCTCCAAGTTTAAATCCAAGTTAAACCAGAACATCTGGGGGGGGGGTAGGAAAAAACAAGAGGAAACAGTCTACCTTGCATAATGACTTAGCCACTCCCAGTCTCTATTTAAGCCTAAATTAATAGTATCCAATTTGCAAATTTGTACCACTGTCACTGTTTCAGACTGCATCTGTGCTTTTCATTTGGCCTTTCATATGCTTCCAGAGAGCTCATGGCAGGAGCAACAAATAGTTTCATGGTGCAGGAGTGACAATAATGCCTTATTTCAGTAACTAGCTAAGGGTACTTCCCTTCAAGACAGGAAGACTGTGATGCTCTCAGACTTTGTCCTGTCCTTCAGTGGGGCTACTCATAGTAGTAAGCACTGTGCTTGGTAATGTTTGCACGTTTAGACCCTAAATTGGTAGAGAATGGGATTTCATGGGATGGGTTGGCCTCTTGAGGGAATTAGGCCTAGTCCCATTTCTGTGTGGTTATCTACCTCCCTGGTGATGAGTTTGGGCTTGTCTTGGTGGTTGGGCCAGGGGCCAAGCATCAGATGGCAGTAGGCAGTGTGTGCTTCCTATAAGAGGGAGTTTGCTCAGTCAGAGGGAGAGAGGCCTGTGGGTAGCAGGAAGGCCCAGGAAAACAGTCAGAAAAGGCTGAAGGGGCATCCTGGGTCTGGAGAGGCTCTAGCAGATGTCTCCTTCTTAGAGATAACTGGGGAGCCAATTCAAAGCCAGGGTCTGAAACCCAGATACAAGGGACATTGGGAAGCGCTGAGGAAGGAATCAATTGGACTAGTTTATATGAGGTTGATTGAGGAGGAGGAGGGACGTGAGGAAGCCTCAGCCAAAGTGAAGAGTTGAAAAGACTTTGTTCTGTTGGAGTTTGTTTAACCCTCAGGATTTTATGATTTGGTTGGAGGCCTTAAGTCATTTGGAAGCGCTGGACTCAGCCCATCCAAGAGCAGGAGACTGAAATGTCTGGAGTTGGAAGAGGGGAAACTGAGGCACAGAACACAAGGTACCAAGATGATCTTGTGACATAGGAATACATAAATATTTTGGCAGCTGTGGCAAGAAAATGAAATCTGGATTGTCTGAGATTAATACCTGTCCAAAATCCAAATTTTATGAATTGGCTCCATCTCTAACTTTTTTTAAAGTCACTATATTAATCAACTGATTGCTTACTGTATGTATTTCATCATCATCACCTGTTCCTGAAAATGTAATTGTATACTACTTTATTTATCTTTGCTTAACCTAAATTAGGAAAGATTGTATTCTGCTTGCATATCAACAAGAAATTAGCTAAATAATTTCCAACAGCAAAATCTTTATTATCGGTGGCCATGCAAGAACCGGAAAGAACACAGATCGATTTTCAGGTACCAGGCTGAGTCTGCAGTAGTACTACCTCTTAAAAAAAATCATATTTTGACTTGTAAACTGAGTGAATTAGATGTGGAAATCATTGCGACACAATAAACATGGAACACCAGAGTGATTTTTTTACAGTCACTTTTCAGAGCAGAACTGCATTTCACAATGTATTATTTTTTAATGAATTAATTTGAGCAAAAGGCACACACAAGAGCTTCATCAATTTGAATAGTGCTTTCTTTGCCCTCAAAGGAACTGGAGAAACAAATTCAATTTTCTTGTAACAAAGGAATGGGAAAATGGCCCATCCAAGTAAACAGTTTAAAAATTTGGCTTCATTTGATGTCCTATAAAATCACCTGCCTTACTTCATTTTGTCTCCCTGGATTTAGGGTCTGCATGATTGATTAGCCAAAATCACAAAAACAATAAGATTAAAAATGGTATAATAAGGTATTAAATAATGGCAGATTTATTTATGTATTTGATTTACACAAAGCACACATTATAAATGCACAGATTGTAGTAAATTTCTATCTTTTAACTATTGACATTTTATAGTACAATATTTAAATTGGTAGCTGTTAACCATAAGGTCTGTTTCTGAAAATGCTACTCAGCCTTATGAACTGTTGGAACATAAAATAAACAAGTTGCTCTTGAGATGAAGTAATGTAGTGAATTATGGACCACCTTTTCACTTCTAGAGATATTTTAGAAGTGGAAAATATCTTTAGTGGTATCAGCTTAAACCCTGGAGTCTATTGGTCCACATCATAAAACAAACACACTATTTGGGGCAATTTTCTCATGACTAGCAAGTTTTGCCCAGGAGAGGCATAGCACTAGAAGAGATGATATATAGCAGGTCAGTACTGAAGTGTACTGATGGAGAGGCTTGGGGAAAATGTTCACTATATAATACTTGAGTGTAGCTAGTGCTATTAATCTTTAACTTTCACAAGTACGAAGGTTTCAGTCTTCCTAACAACACAAGGTTTGGCAGTCATAGAAGCTTCTCACCCACCAGACGAGTTATTTATGGTGTCTCATGAGGCCTGATCGTGTTCTTGATGCTATCCTGCCAACCCTTCACTTTCCTGCCATAATCCTATTTTGATGTCAGAAAGATGCAGAAAGTAACACCAGACAAGATTGGCAATTTTACAAAATGTCTCAAAAACTATGAAGAGCACCTGTAGAATCAGACTGTGTGAAACTGAAAGGAACACATCATGGACTCACTGGGTAAAAAAATTCTCTCAGTATTTTTATGGTCCCCATCACAGTAGTAGCTAACGGCCTCACAAACATTAACACATTTATTATCAAAATACTTATGGAGCTACAGATGTGTTTATTATCTCATATTACAAATGGGGAACTTGAGGCACAGAGAAATTAGGACCCAATCTTTCAAAAGTCGGTGCTTAAAGTTAGGATCCTAAGTTCATATTTAGGTACCTACGTAAATGGTTGGATCTTGAAAGTGCCTAAACTAAGCTATTAGCTGCTCACACTAAAGTCAGTGGGAGCTACTGAGTGCTCAGCACTTTTTAATCAGGCTACTTGTTCAGGAGCTTAAATATACATTTAGGAATTTAGGTCCCTAACTTCAAGCAGCCACTTGTGAAAATTTTGGTCTAGGTGAGTTGCTTAAGATCATATAGCAAGTCTATGGCAGATCCCATGATTCCCAGTCTGGTGCCTTACCCACAAGACCATTCATTACTTAAAAATTTGAAATCCAGTAGAGCTTCATCAGGTGGGTATTTATCTCAAGAAGCTGGTAACCAATTAAAGGAGCATTTTCTTAATGAATCAACAATGGCATATATAAATCTTTTCCACCTAATGTAAAGTAACTTACATTCATTAGTTGTGTATTCTTTGTGCAACATTTCCCACCCAATTATGAGAAAAACAGCAGCAGGCAAGAAAACCAACAATGGTGAGGTCATCTGGCACAATTAGCTAGTGGCTAAATATAGATTAATATAGAAAACTTCAACATTAAGGTCCCAATCTTGCAAGGAGCTCTCCAACTTCAGTGAGACTTTGCGTAGTCACAGAAGTCACCTGCATGAGTCTTTTTGTAGGATTGGGGATGAAGAAGTTGGATACAATAAACTGCTTGCAGAACATAAATGTATAGTAGGAAGAAACTTGTATGAACGTGTGTATGGTAATAGTGCCTCTGAGGAACATCCATTTCTTGTCAGTATGCTCAAAGAGAACACACACTGATCTCTACAACACTCTTCTTTTCCTTCATTTGTTTTGACAATGCCCCCAAATAACTCCGTGTACTCAATTTTGGGTGGAAGTGTTTCAATATATATCTCCAAGGTTCACAGATTCAGTTTTGCTCTGGATTCAGAGTAGCAACCGTGTTAGTCTGTATCCGTAAAAAGAAAAGGAGTACTTGTGGCACCTAAGAGACTAACAAATTTATTAGAGCATAAGCTTTCGTGAGCTACAGCTCACTTCATCGGATGCATACAGTGGAAAATATAGCGGGGAGATTTTATGTACACAGAGAACATGAAACAATGGGTGTTACCGTACAGACTGTAACAAGAGTGATCAGGAAAGGTGAGCTATTACCAGCGGGGCGGGGGGCGCGGAACCTTTTGTAGTGATAATCAAGGTGGGCCATTTCCAGCACTTAAGTGATCACTCTCATTACAGTGTGTATGGTAACACCCATTGTTTCATGTTCTCTATGTATATAAATCTCCCCACTGTATTTTCCACTGAATGCATCTGATGAAGTGAGCTGTAGCTCACGGAAGCTTATGCTCAGATAAATTTGTTAGTCTCTAAGGTGCCACAAGTACTCCTTTTCTTTAAGGGGAAATAGTTTTACTTTGTGTAATGACACATCCACTCCCAGTCTTTATTCAAGTCTAAGTTAATTGTATCCAGTTGGCAAATCAATTCCAATTCAGCAGTCTCTCGTT